TAAAAATTTGCTATATTTCAACATGTGTTGCGCATAGCTCATAAAGTATTTGACATAGAGTCATGAAACTTTAAAGTGTTGGTCAGCATCTGAAGCTGTGCGCCTGGGATTTGACATGTGGATTCAGTTTTGTCAAAGTTATTGCTCTTGACTAAGTAAAAATTTAAAATTTTCAACTTGTGTCTCGCAAAACAGACTAGCCCAAAAAAGTATTTGATCTAAAGTCATGAAAATTTACAGCAATGTTGATCAACATGTGAAGTTGTGCACTTGAGGTTTGGCATGTTGATCAATTCAGTTTTGTGAGAGTTTTGTAATTGCCGTTGACTTAATAAAACTTTGCAATTTTCAATTTGTGTCACACTTAGCCTAAAAAGTATTTGACTTAGAGTCATGACACTTTACAGAAATGTTGGTCAACATTTGTAATTGTGCTGCTGGGGGTTTGCTTGTAAACTTGATCAGAATTTGTAGAGTAAGTGCCCTTGACAAAAGAATGTTTCAAACTGTTGTGTCATATGTACCTCTTAAAGTGCTTGATCTAGAACCATCAAACTTTATAGGAATGTTAATCAGCATTGGAAGCTGTACACCTTGCGTTTTGCATGTGGATTCATTTTGCTCTTTTAAGGTTGTTGTCTTTGACTTAATGAAAATTTTCAATTTTCAAATTCTGTTTTGCACAGTTTAAAAATTATTTGACCTTGAGACATTAAACTTTGCAGGACTGTTGGTCAATCTGTGTAATTGTGCATCTGCATTTGGGACAAATCAGTATGGCAACATTGGAAAAACTGGATGTTGTTTTTATGCCCCAACCAGTTAGGGGGGAGTCATGAAGAATGTTTTTTGCCTGTCCCTCTGTCATACTGTCCTGCTGTACATCAGTGGACAGTGGAGAGCCGGGGCAACTGTGTCCTATGGACACATTTCTAGTTTCTAATATCAACGCAGCATGTGAGATGTGGTGGCATATAGCGATACAACTTTGGGGCTAAATTAAAGTTGTTCAAAGAATTTGATTCCATGCTGAAATCTAGTTGCCATGGCAACCAAAAATAATTATAAGGGGGTCATTAATTTTCACTTAATATGTACATTTCATTAAATATGTACATATAAAAAAAAACTTAAAAAAAAAACATTCTTTTCTGAAGGTACAAGGCTTATTTAATCTTTGATATTTGGTATAAAATATCATCTATTCTTTTTCTACCAAAATTGTTCAAATTTGCCCCTAGTGTCAAAATTGGCATTGCCCCTGGATTTTGTCTGGATCATATCTCCTACATGCATAGTAATATATTTATGATACTTTATACAAATGTTCACCACCATTAATGTATTGCTTCATATGATCCAGTTCAAAGGTAAAGGTCACGTTAAGAGCTAATTGCTTTGCATATCTACCATGCCCACATGTCCATCAAAAGCTTTTATGACGGGCGTATTTTTCAACCATGTTGTCCTTGTTTTCACAAATGCAATCTTGTTAATTAATGCATCCCTCTGTCTGTTTATTATTCTGTCTGTTAAAAGAAATCTGGATCCTGCAAGATATACTAAAGCTAGGTTGTTATGTGGATACAGTATCATATGGAGAATACTCACATCATTTAAAGTTTTCACTCCATCTGTCAGTCTGTCATTTTGTCTGTCCCAAGAAATTTAGATCCTGCCATGACTCAAAAAGGATAAAATGTAGATGGATGATACTTGGTTGATGTGGATAGACTAAGGATCATTCTTGTGATTATGATTATTAATATTTTCATCAGTGAAAAAAAATGTGGTTGCTATAAGTATGGTTATAGAAATTGTAAAAATACAATGATACTTGATACATTACTAACATCCTGTGGTAACTCAAAACATTTACATTTGTTCCCTGCAATTAATTACTTCAGTTTCCTTAAATTGGAGAAGCATAATTTCTTCCTAATTATGTAATTTGAAACAAATTCTTCATAGTCAATTTCCATATCTATATGGGTTGAGGTAGAGAATTATTCAGGATTATTACCAGTAGGGTCTGTGATAAGCTCTTGGTGTTGATTTATTTGATGTTTATAAATAGAAATCATAAAACCTTCACTTTTATTGAAAAAATAAACAATATTGAGAAAAGAGAAAATCATGTTAAAACACATTATGACCAGCACATTCATATCGAAGGAAACATGTGCATACAGTGCAGTCTGTATGTTGTGGGTATGTCATTAGCATTGATGTTAAAACATATTGTACACAATACAAGGCCAATGCTTATAAAACCTGTTTGGGAATAATAATGTTTTCATACTATTAGGGGTCCTTTTGTTGAAAATCCCCCCATGTGTGCCTGATTCTTGAACTGTTTTTATTTTTTCTTTCAGAAAATGGCATTTATCATAGCTAACTATTCATAGACAGATTCTACTAATTTTTTATTCTAAGAATAAGAAATGAAATTTATAAGTTACACAAACCTTAGATATATGTTATTCTTCAGCTAGAATTTTATTTTTTTTAAAAATCAGATGAAAATTTCAACGAGATCACACAGGGAAGCACATGTGTCTTTTCATTTGCCTCACGGATGGTAATGTTAATGCCATGTGCAATTTTCAATTCCACAAACAATCTGTATCATCTTCAAGATTGGTCAAACTGTCTGAAAAACATCTGTGTCTTACAAGACACATGTTGGGGGTTTCTCTTGTCATATTCAACGTTTCAAAAGGATTCTTTCCAAAATGTTGACAATTGCTTATGATTGCACTTTGATATGCTTTGATGAAGATGTTTTTGAATGATTAAATGTGGCAACTTCAAATGTTGATACTTGATTACAGAAGAATCCAAAATTTATATAACATGAAATAAAATGTGACATTTTTCTTGTTTTACGTAGATCCAAGTTCCCGTAAAATTTTGACAAAATCAACGTTGGTTTCCGGCGCTTTTGTATATTTACAGTATCAGCGTTTATCAAGTTCTATGAGCTGCTCCGCTGTGCTTCTTGTATTGTTATTATAAAGCAGATGAAACAAAACTTGAAATTATCAATTAAATAACATTTTAAGATTTTATAAATGAAATATTGAACTTAACACAGTTATCAATTTAAGACAACAAGAAAAGTATCGACCTAATAATTATAGTTATTCTGGATTATTCTTCGTAGTTGTATTGTTCGCAAGAAAGGTTTTGTTTTTTTCTGTATCAGAAAATGAGCTTGTTTGAAAGTCATACTTTAAGTGAAATGTCTAAAGGAACAAAGACTATAACTTAATTTGATTAATACTCCCGTAATGCTGCTTTGGAAATGAGGAAATTACTAGTAACAGAATACCTTGCAAAAGAACTGAAATAGAGTTATTGTTGTGGACAATTAAAGATAGTTGTGGTTCTTGTATGTAGCATTTCCTTATAATGTGGTTGACCATTGATGAAGTTTAATTGAATTACTCTGTACTTAGTCCAAAAAGAGTTACGCTTCTAAAGCTCTGCACTTCCTCTTATTGCGCTTGACCATTGAATAAAGTTTCATTGAATTCTAAACAAAAGTTTAAAAGTTATGCACCTAACAAGGAAAAGAAATAAAGGGCAATAACTCTACAAATACTGAAGATGGAGTTATTGTACACTGCACTCCCTTTCATTGCGTTTGACCATTTGTGTAGTTGTATTGAATTTCATCTACTAGTTTTCAAGTTATACACTGGACAATAAAGTAACAAATGGCAATAACAGTAATTAGTCCAAATAGAGTTATGGTTTGTGTGCACTGCACTTCATCTCACTGCCCTTGACCATTGTATGAAGTTTCTTTGAATTCCAACCATTAATTTTCAAGTTATGCACTGGACAATAAAAAGTAACAAAGGGCAAAGCCTCTTAAATGAGTCACAAAAGAGTTATGGTTTCTGTGCACTGCGCTTTCTCTAAATATATACTAGACTTTTGTTAAAAATTGTATTCAATTCCAACTCGTAGTTTTCAAGTAATGCTCTGGACAAGAAAAAAGCAATATAAAAGTAATAAAGGGCAGTAACTCTATAATTACTCTGGACAGAGTTATGGTTCTTGTGCACTGCAGTTCCTCTTATTGTACTTGACAATTGAATGAAGTTGTTTTGAATTCCAACCAGTACCCTACAAGTAATGCTGCGGACATGAAAAAGTATCAAAGGGCAATTACTCTCTACTTTGTCAAAATGATGTTATTGTTCTTATGCACTGCACTTTCTCTTAATATGCTTGACGATTGTATGAAGTTGTATTGAATTCGAACAAGTATCTTTCAAGTATATTCCGGACAAGGAAAAGTAACAAAGGGCAATAACTCTGTAATTAGTCAAGATGGACTTATGGTTCTTGTGCACTGCACTTTCTCTCAATGTGCTTGACCATTGTATGAAGTTATCTTGAATTCCAGCCATTAGTCTTCAAAATATGGTTCGGACAAAAGAAAGCAATGGGAAAGTAACAAAGAGAAATAACTCTGTAATTTCTTTAGATAGAGTTATGGTTCGTGTGCACTGCACTTTCCCTTAATCCGCTTGATCATTGTATGAAGTTGTTTTGAATTGCAACAAGTACTTTTCAAGTTATGCTCCGGACAAGGAAAAGTAACAAAGGGCAATAACTCTGTAATTAGTCAAGATGGAGAGATAGCAGTTATCATAGGAATTTTAACTTAATGTATCATCATTTGATATGCCTTTGAGGGATGCAGATATGCAACAATCTGCCAAAGGAATGTCAGTAAAGTCCTGTAATATTTTGGGAGTCCTAAAAATTTGATTGAATCTTGAAAGTATTTATGAAACTTGAAGCATGTGTAGAGAACAACGCAAGTACTTTAATTTCTGATTTTATTCTATTTCCTTTTGGAAACATTTCAATGTTTTTGAGATGTTTTTGAGATATTTCTACATATATATAATTTAAAAGAACTTACGAAGTTGTGAACAATTATTTTTCTTTCCTCATCATTTTACTCTCACTATTTTCAGTGTCAAATCTTCGAGTGAGTAACGTTGGCTTCAGTTCTATACAAACTGATAACATAACAGTTACTTGGGCCATACCCCAGAATTATAGACAGTACATCAACAGATTTAAAGTGATTTGGAGACCAACAAACAATGTAAACACTGAGTCAGCAGAACTAGCTTCCAATAGTACATCATACACAATGACAAGAGGAATAGATCCTGGTAGAGCATATACAGTTACAATCATCTCAATCAACGATCGGACACAACTAGGATCTTCTCGTAGTACATCTGTTGTTAGATATCAGTCTGCTAGTAAGATTATTTAATTTAACTTATTCTAGTTGTTAACACTTGTCATATGATAGCAATTTTATTTTTGCTGGTACAGTAGTTTGTGAAGATTATCATATACTAGATATTTAGGGATGTCAGTGACCCATTGGTTAAGACTTCAAACTTCTTGTCCCTCACCTCTGTAAGTATGAATGTCAACAGGGACTTTAGACTATTTTATGTTAGGAACTTATACAACTAGCTTTCATAATGTTGGTGGTTCTACTCAGGTGCCTGAAATAATGTACTGAAGGATACCTATTTTTCTCCTTCACTAAAGCTGAAAAGTCTCCAAAATACATTTTTTTTGTGTTAATGTGACTTTTCTTCTTTGCAATAAAAAGTTTTATTTAAATAGTTTGATAGCTGGTATAACTTGCATTCATTTTTAGTAATTGGATGTCTACCTAGAGTTTAAGTACTAAAAGGTGCCTAAAAATTTTGAAAATATTTTTCCTTTTATTTTTTGATACTTAAAATTCTAAAATGTTGCAGTATTTATTTTTTGCTTGCCTTTTTTAAGAGAAAAAACAAGACTTTATTAACAAATGATTTGCTCGTTTCAGAACCAAGTATAACAAGTGGAATTGATGACTCAAACAGTGATAAAGATATCAGTGGTGGTAGTATAAAAGTTGCCTGGATTAATGCCCCTGGTTACAAAAGTGGCTACATTGTAGTACTTAAAGATGGAGAAACTGTAAAGTTTACTAGGACTGTTAACGGCGTATCTGTAACATTGTCAAGTTCAGGATTAAAGAATGGATACAATTATGATGTTACAATTCAAGCAAAAAGTGAACAGTTTGATAATGGGAAGACTGAACTGGGTGAAATTTTCACTTCTGAATTTAAAACCACTCCAAAATGTAAGTTGATATAAAATTCATTTTAGATAATATTCATACCATGCAATGTTATCTATAGAATTACTGATTTTATCATCAGTAAAGTATATAATTATGATGATTATTATGGTTAACTGGAGGCCCCAAAAAAACATTCATATTGTATCCCTTTATTTTACCTATAACCAATGCCATGACATTTTAAGTATGCCATTTCTGTAATGTAAATAGCAATAAAGAATAAACTTTCATCTTTATGTTATTTAAGAACTTGATAAATATAGCCTAGCCTGTTAAAGTTCTATAATTGATATTAGATAGATTCTATATAATAATATTAATAATTTTATTTCAGTTTAATAAATTGAATAAAAGTTGGCTTTTTTCATGGTTAAAAAGTCCAAGTTTTGTCCATGTATATTTATCACTTGAAATATTTAGTGTATGTCATTATGTGATTTGATAGTGAAATATTGATTTACTTCAGTTTATATTTTCCAAGTAGAGATTAGTTGACATAAGTTTGTATTGTTATCAAAAAGGTATTGTTGCAATATTTATATGATTTATGCATTATAACTGTTTATTATATGCTTTTCGGTGGTTTATAGAAATATATCAGTGATATAAAACTGATAATTTCACTGTTTTAAACAATTTGATAATTTCACTGTTTTGAATTTTAGCCCCTTACGTTGTTTCAGTGAAATACCAACGTGCACAGTACTGGGAACCAACTTAATGACGTGATGTCGTAAATGATGTCACATTGTATTATTATTTGGCGCGCTTTTCATTCAGTGTTAGGTTAAATGTATTTATAAAACGTTTCTTTGCATATAATAAAAAGAAAATTTGTTTAGTTTAGTGTAAGATCGATATATATTTGACCTTGTGAACACTGCGCCACTCGTGAAATATACCTTTTGGTGCTCACTCGGTGAATTATATTCCGATCTTACAGTAAACTAAACAAATATCCTCTATTCATCACATGCTTTCCTGTTGTTTATAGAAATATATCGGTGAAATATATAACTGATAGTTTACCTGTTTGAAACAGTGAAATTATCAATTTGGTAGTTTTACGGTTTTGAATTTAAACTGCCCCTTATGTTGTTTCAGTGAAATATCAGCGTACACAGTGCTGGCACCAACTTAATAACGTGACGTCGTAAATAACGTCATATTGTATTATTATTTGGCGCGCTTTTCATTTAGTATTATGTTAAAATGTCTTTTTTAACGTTTCTTTGCATATAATAAAAAGAAAATCTGTTTAGTTTAGTGTAAGATTGAAATATATTTCACCTCATGAACAGCGGGGCGTCTGTGGCCTATTGGTTAAGGTCGTTGACTTTCAAACCACTTGTCCCTCACCGCTGTGGGTTCGAATCCCGCCAGAGACTTTGGATTCTTTCATGTGAGGAAGCTATCCAGCTAGCTTACAGAACGTCAGTGGTTCTACTCAGGTGCCCATTAGTGCCTGAAATAATGCACGGAAGGGCACCTGAGGTCTTCTTCCACCAGTAAAGCTGGAACGTCGCCAAATGACCTATATTGTGTCTGTGTGACGTAAAACCCAATCAAACAAACAAACCTCATGAACAACAAAAGTTCATATTTCACTCTTTTGGTGCTCACGAGGTGATATATTTTCCGATCTTACACTGAACTAAACAAATACCCTCTATATATTAAAGTGTAACAATGATTGACTTGATTTAAATCTAATTGCAGCACCTGAACCACCAATAAATGGTGAATGTAAATACCCTACAGACAGTTCTATATCACTTGATTGGGAAGCACCAATAAATCCAAATGGTCATTTAGTACAGTACAACATCCATGTTTATAAACACGATAGTCTTGTGTTTAACAATGTCACCTCAACAGGGACACGAACAGATAAAACTATTGGAAATCTTGAACTTAGTAAGATGTTAAAGTTAAATGACATTTGAATTTAAGTTCTTATTCATAAAATGGTCTACTCATCTAAATTTAGAATATACAATGACAGTATAAACCAAAGATCTTAGTAGTGATTAGAAAAGAGAAAAATATCTCATTCTTAAAGTATACAAAATACACTGTAAACAGCGCATGATAACGAAATTGTTGAAATATATCTAAATTAAAATATTTGTTAAGGAGGATTTGGGTGTCGCCCCGAGTCCAACAGAGATTGATTCAAATGTTGATAAATTTTCTGAAATTATGGGAAACATTTGTACACCTTTGTTTGGAAAGCGTATTTTTGATAAGAGGGATACAAAACAAAACTCCGATAAACCATGGTTTGATGGCGAATGTTCAAGAAAACGGAAACAGTTTTATAACAATGTTAACATTTACAATAAAAATAAAACAGATGACAATCGTAACTTGATGGCCGATTCAAGAAAGGAATATAAAAACATGATAAGAAGCAAAAAATATTTACATAGAAAAGAAAATACTGATAGGTTTATACAGTCAAGACATAAAAATGCAAAAATTTATTGGCAATTACTTAAGGAATCTGTATGTAATAATAGCTCTCCCAAAATAGGTGTAGATACATTTGCGAATTATTTTAGCGCAATAAATAACCCAGATAGCCATTTTTATCAAGCTGATGATGATATTTTATATTTTAACGATATGATTCTCAATAACGAAATACAAGTTATGTTTGAAGAATTAGATGTAGAAATAACAATCACAGAAATTATCAAAGCTATAAAGCAGTTAAAGTGTAACACGGCAAGTGGACCAGATATGTTTTTAAATGAATTTTTTATAAATGGTGCTGATCAATTAAAAAGTTACTTTCATGTGTTATTTAATAGTTGTTTAAGCATGGGTTATTTTCCTGAGCAATGGAGTCAGGGTTTTGTTGTTCCAATCCATAAGTCTGGTGATATAAATGAACCAGGAAATTACCGTGGAATCACATTACTGAGTACATTTGGCAAATTGTTTAGTCGAATTTTGAACAACAGACTCGATAGTTGGGCTGAAAACTATTCTATATATGTTGAAGCTCAGGCAGGTTTTAGAAAAGGTATGGGTACAACTGATAATGTTTTTGTTCTTAATGGGTTAATTAATCATTTTTTAAATAATAAGGAATATTTGTACTGTGCATTTATAGATTTTCAAAAAGCTTTCGATTTTGTTGTTAGGGATATATTGTGGTACAAACTTTTGCAATGTGGTGTAAGTGGAAATATATTAAATGTTATAAAGTCAATGTATAGCAATGTTAAGTCACAAATGAAATGTAATAATGAGTTAAGTGATGCGTTTTACTGTAATTTAGGCGTTCGTCAGGGTGAAAGTCTCTCACCTTTTCTTTTTAGCATGTATTTAAATGATCTGGAGCAAACTTTAAATGATAGAGGTATAGAAGGTATTGATGTTGGAATGATAAAGATAGGTCTGTTGTTATACGCCGATGATATTATTCTTTTTGCGAAAAGTGCAGATGAATTGCAACATTCTCTAAATGTTTTATTAGAATATTGTAATAGATGGAAATTAACAGTAAATACGGGAAAAACTAAAGTCATGGTGTTCAGAAAAGCGGGTAGATTACCGCAGAATTTACGTTTCTTGTATAATGATCAGGAATTAGAAATTGTATCACGTTTTAAATATTTAGGTGTTTTATTTACGTCAGGTGGTTCATATATTCAACATGATAAGTTATTAGCTGGACAGGCTTTAAAAGCTATTTTCAAAATGAATAAATATTTATATAAATTTACAGATTTATTACCCAAACACACACTTGATTTATTTGATAAGTTAATTATGCCAATTTTAATGTATTCCTCAGAGGTATGGGGTTTTTATAAAGCCCCACATGTAGAAAGAACATATTTAAGTTTTTGTAAAAGATTGTTAAGTGTTAAAGCATCTACTCAAAATGATTTTATATATGGCGAGCTTGGTAGACAAAGTTTGATATCATATAGAATGTTTAGTGTTATAAAATATTGGTTAAAAATATGTACATGTCCAGAATCAAAGTATATTAGAAACATTTATTTGATGTTAAAGAATGACGCAGTTAACGAACCAAATGTAACTAACTGGGTGACTAATGTTAAGAACTTACTAATAAAACTAGGGTTTGAACATGTATGGTTAAACCAAGGTGTTGAAAATAAAGAACTATTTTTATTGATATTAAAACAAAGGATAAAAGATATATGGCTGATTGATTTTAATAATAGATTAGAAAACTCGACAAGAGCACTGTTTTTTAGAACAATAGTTAGTTTTAATTTTAGCAAATATCTAGATGTTATAAATATCCGTAAGTACAGAACAGCTTTAGCACGTTTACGCATGTCATCTCATAGATTAGCTGTAGAATCTGGAAGGTGGAGAAAACCAGAATGTGTTCCTTTTAATGAACGAATTTGTCATATATGTAATTCATTAGAAGATGAATACCATTTTGTACTTGTATGTAATATGTTTAAAGAACTTCGTACAAAATATATCAAGAGATACTATTGGAATCACCCTAGTAATTTTAAATTTATTTCTCTTATGAACACAGAAAATGTAACAGATATTCGTAATTTAAGTATTTACACGTATCATGCTTTTATTAAACGTCAGCAACAGATTGATTCACTGTAGATTTTGCCAATTTTAGATGTAGATATATCTATAGCATTATTCTAGGTTAATGCTTACTAAGACAAAACGTTTTGTAAAAATAAATTGCTTTAAATTATGAATATTATAACCGGCTGTTGATATTCACCCTTTCTGTCAAGGGTTAACTCATCTAAAATGAAAACGGTGACTCGATAAAATATATATAGATATATCTATATCATTTTATAAGACTAGATCTACTTTAATCTTTTTGGTTAAACAAAATGCTTTATGGTGTATGCATAATATTTAGTACTTTGATGATAACCTAGTCATAGATACCTTTAAAAATGGTTCCGTTGATGGAGACTCCTAATCTTTCTGTTTATAATGCCGTTGCTATGTACAAATCACCATCATGTGCTCTATATTTTCGTTTTTTCGATGGGGCATTTATGTGTTGGTGAATGTATCATATTTAGCACTACGTATCATTTGTGGATAGCGCCCCTTTCCAAGAAAGAGCAAAATCCTTAAATGATATCAACATATTATGTAGGAGTATCCAACCTCGTTAACCATATTATTATTATATAGAAATTAATATGTTTTGTCGTATTGTAATATTTACATCATTCTGCCTCTCCCAAGCGAGATGTCATGTGAAACCACTCTTTGTTTAATATTGTACCCTGAAGCTCTTTGATTTGGTAATTTTATATAGCACAGTGAATCAGCTTAAAGTGTATGAGCTACTTTTCCACCAAAGAATTATTTCCCGTGAATACACATGCCATCTCGACTTCTTGTCACGTATTGCCATGTTTATATTTGTGTATGTATATATATTGATGCTTTGTCAATGGCTCTTTTTAGGGCTTTAGTGCAAATAAAAAAGTTCTTCTTCTATGAAATTTAAGGGTTATAATGCTCAAGTATGTTACCTTATTTTAGCAATTTACACTGAAACAACACAGTATTTTCTTTCTTAGAGACCCAGATCTTTACACAAGTTAAGTTGCTATGAAGATATCAATTCAATACAATGCTATTTAATTTTGTTTTTTTACTGATGACAAACAGACAAAAGAAATATGGTTATGATAACTTATTTGCCATTTGCTAAATTATAAATGTGCTAAATACAAATTCTTCTAAGGACTCCACTAAGCAAAATGAAATAGTTCAGAAATGTATGTAATATCTTCTAGGTTCTGAAGAAAGATAATTTAAGTTAATACTGAAGGCTTCTTGATAGAAAAAAAGATTAAACTTTTAGTAATATTTGTTTGTGATTAATATTATATCATGATTCAGGAGTTATCCTTGAAATTGACTACTGATAGTCAAAGGTTTACTTTGATTAATGTTTCAGGAACATTTTACACATTTAAGATATACACGGTGAATGAAGTTGGACAATCAACAAGTTCACTACAAATTACATCCACAAACTGTAAAACAAAAGCTAAAAGTATGTATTTTGATATATCGTAGACCTACATAAGTATGTTCTGAATATCAATTATTTAATACTAAGTGAAAATTTGAATGTTGAAAAAACTTGAAACTCACAATGATTTATTATAGATATTAAAAAAGAGAAAAAATTCCTTTTGATATGAAAGGTTTGTTTTATGCCACCACAGCATCTGTGCAATGCACCTTTGTGTGTGTGTGTGTGTGTGTGTGTGTGTGCGTGTGCGTGTGCGTGTGTGTTGGTGCGTGTGCGCGTGCGTGTGTGCACGCACACGCTATAAAAATTATATAGTGAACTTAAAAAGTGGCAACTCCAAATTAAACCAAACTTTGCAGGATTTTTCCTTGGGTGAAGGGCTTCCAAAGTTGTTCAAAAAATTTGATTTCATGCAGACAAATTATAAGAATTTTTTTTAATCTTCTCCTAAAGACCCCAAGGCCTAGAGCTTAGGTATTTTGCATGAAGCATTGTCTTTTGAGTATCTACCAAGATTGCAAGGTCAAGGTCGCTAGAGATGATAAAATATCCAGAAATTGTCTGAATATTACATATAGCATAGCATAATATTTTCTTTTATAAACCATCTATAGCCAAGGATTATCGATGAAATTTTGTTATGAGACCTATTTTGATTAAATATTGTTCCCCTAGTTTTAAGGTTTAAAGTGAATTAGTTTATGATGGAAAATCTGTTTATACAATAAATAAAATTGTTGATAGAGTTTAACATTATGTATAGTAACAGCAACAAAGTTTTATATGTTTGCTGTTGGCAAGTGTGAGATTAATGATTTGATATTACATATATTCATAAAACAGATAATTAACTATTAAAGAAAAAAACATTATTTTTTCATGGTTCATGTTTATACTATGGAAAATTTGACCATTGTAGAACAATTAACTTATTGGTGAATATAATAAGGCTTATCATTTTTATCTCAAAACTGTTCTTAATGAGTCCTTTGTATGAGATGGATGTGAAACTTTGATTATTTCTATTTTAATCAGTGTCAGCTATGCCAGAAAATCTACAAATAACATATGTTACAAGTCGAAGTCTTCTGATTTCTTGGGATAAACCTGTAGATACGTTCAGCGATGAGAACTATGGGTATGTTCTGCAAGTTAAGGATGAACAAGTCAAGTGTAAAGAAGAGGTTCTTTATAGATGCTCAGACTGTACAGGAAGTTTTCCGGTAAAGTGTAACAGTATGATTTATATCGGTTGAATATGTGCATTTATTTTGTAATTTAATAAAATGTCATTTCTATTTCTCTAGACATCTTGCTTACCAAGTATACACCAGTTAATCTTGGCTCGTGGCCAATCATTATCATTTATATTATCATATATAAGCGGCTTTATCATTTCATCAGGTATATAGTTTATAGCCTATTTTAGCCAAACAAAAAAAAAAAACAATCTTAGTCTGCTGTCACTGCATGAAACAGTATTATCTGTAGCTCACCTGAAGCTCAAAGTGTTCAGAGGTGAACTTTTGTTATAACATGATAATCAATATTAAATGACTGCAATGTAGTTCATTATTCAAACATTTTAGATCAGTGATAGTGATAGAATAGTGATGAACTTTTTAACTAGAATTTTTGTTAAAATGTAAAAATAATGATTTCAAAACTATGAAAGGCTTCAACATGAATTATTGTATACTTGTCATAACCAGGTTCAGGTTTAAATAAGGGTCATCTGAGGTCAAAAACCTTTCACAGCATATAAAAAGCATAATAATTGGAAAACCTTATTAAGTCGGACCAATTTTACGAAAGATGATGTCTCGGTTGAGTCAAGTTATTGGGTTATCTACCGGCCGTGATCTTGCATAGTACATCACCATTCAAAAATTAAATTATAAGATCATGTTTTATTAAATCAATCAAAAATTACTATAACCCTGGCTATATTATATTATATTATCAGTTTTTACTATAAAAAGAAACAATTTTATAGATTTGCAATGAAATTAGAATTTTTTCATTCTCGGTGTCAAGGTAAAAATCTACTGCATATATTTGAAAATAGGTCCGAACTTCACGAGCTTTTTTTAATTTATGCATTGTTCAATGACAAAGTAGAAATTTATTTTACAGAAAAAGAAATGTTATTTAATCGTATCATGTAAAAATGTTATAATATTTCACGATGTTATTTACAAATATTTGATGTTTAATTTGGTGCATTTTCAAAATGGCGACGTTTAACGGCAAATATTCTGAATAAGCAATTTATATTTTTCAACAAATATGGTTTTGAAAACATAATTTTCTGAAATGTTTATCATTTTTTTCACAAGCTTAAAGTTTTTTTAGATTACATCATACCGTTAAAATTTTCATTTTTGCTCTTGTATTTAATTTTCGCCCTTTTCTTGAACACTTACATAATTTGCGTATAGCAAACTAACCGAGTTATACCGAGACATGTTTAATTGTAGCGCGTTTCAAGACCACCTTTTTTTAAAGAACCTGTAACATTTGTACTATTTCAGGTGCAGATATTAATGTTGATATCCGTTTAGGTTTATTTATTATATCAGCCTTTCATTCTTGTTCAGAGCCTCAATAATCAGGTGAGCGATATAAGGGCCATCATGGCCTTTTTGTTTTACAAATGCATTCTTGTTATGGAGTTATGCCCTTTCCTAACATTATTATCACGACAAGGCAAATGTATAAGACAAGGTGCTGTTCACTGAAAGCAATATTTTTAGGCTCAATTTTAACTTAGAATATTTGCGAAAATTGGTTTTTGATAGTCATCACCCTTAACACAAAAGCATTGATATCAGATGCGGTACTCTTTCTGTTCTTACTTAAAGAAATTCAATTTTATATTCTATCCCAGACACTTCACCCAGGAACCTAGATATTTGGTATGTACAATAACTTTGTTGCCTTCTATAAAAATTGAATGAATCATATCCCAACGACCAAAACTGGTCTTGTTCTGGGAGTCACTTTGATGGAAAAAGCTTCAAATCTTCTTATTTGAGGTAAAAAGCGCAAAGTGAAGATATTTGTCAGGTATCATTTCTTAGTGAAGTTATACCAATCATACCTTTATTGTCATAATTGGCACACCCAAATTTAACACAATTAATATAACTTAATCATGAATTAAGTAATGATGACCTTATTGTAATAGGATATGAATTGTTTGTAGTATTTATTTCACAATTAAAATACATATACGTCATTTGTATTTTTTTATTTCAGACTTCTAAAGTTTCAGGATTATGTTCTTTAAATAAACAGCCCGATTTCTACAAAACTTCAGCCGAGTTAGCGAGTCAGTTGTCATACAATGCAAGCCTTAATCCTGACATTAACTACATAGTTACTGTTACAGCAATAAATGACGAAGGGAGAGGTCATCCTGCTACATTGACACAAAGGACAAAAGAAGAAGGTATATTATATAATATAATTATTATGTCCTTTATAATGCAAAGTTAACTGTCTGACTTTACATCACGTCAGCAGAAAGAAATGCTTGATAGTTGGTCAGTTAAATTGATTTACGGAATTACAGAACAAAAGACATTTGTCTTTTTTCCAAGAAACATTTTCTTACATATAATGCAATGAAGTTTGTCATAAAATACCTATTGCACATCTTTTTTCAATATAATTAAGAATTCATTCGGTGAACTGTAGTAGGAAAGCGTTGTCCGTTCACCTGTCCATCTATTTGCACTTATAGATTACCTATGTGGCAGGTAAGTGTCCTTAAGCGTTGATGTCATTCATTCCATAAGCTTTTATGACGCTCTTTTTATGTGGTTAAAAGACCAATGGAGGGAACAATAAAGAAGTCACAAATCTTGTTCGAACGCCCACCATCTGTCCGTTGACAGTTGGTTTCCGCAGTGTAACTTTTGAAGAATTTCAATTATTATATATATTTGGCATAACATTTTAAGTATGTTTGATCAAAATACATGTTAGTTTCGATATTTTCTGATATCAACTCCTTATTAATAGAGTAATGCCCTCTTTTAACACATTTTCTGCGAAATTAATGGTTTCCACTGAATATCTCTTGAAGGATTTTAGCGATTGTGTAAACATAAGCATGTATATATGTTAAATCAACATGCTGGTCAACGTCAATTTTCGCTGCAATCAGCTTATCATTAATAGAGTAATGCCTTTTCTAAAGCTATTTTTAGTGACATTAGTCGTTTCTGCAAGACAATTTTAAAGGATTTCAAGAAGTTTGTTTATATTAGGCATGCAAGTATGTTAAAAAATAAAAGTTATGTTCGATTTATTGGGCGTCCGTGCCCTAGTGGTTACGGTCGTTGACTTCAGACCACTTGCCCTCACCGCTTGAGTTCGAATCTAGCAAGGGACTTTCGATTATTTCATGTAAACCTTTTTGTGCCTCAAAATCCTTAGATCATCCATATTCAAAAATTTATAAAATACATGAACGTTGATTTCTATTTGTTAGATTACTTTATTGTATATTGTTACAAATCGTTTCTTACGATTCATTCCATCAGCAATTATACATGATATACACTATATTTATGTTATATATGCCATTAAGTATTGAATATAGTTTTTTCGTTTCATTATCTACCGGGGAGGGCCGACCGCTAATGTTGTAAGAACTCGGGCCCAACCCATTTGCTTTTGCTGTTTAAAATACATATGAATTTTGTATCTGTATTGTATATACATGTATATAGCAATAAAATATGATTAAACAATAAAAATTCCTGCACGAACGCACACGAGAAGTCTTTCTTCACCAATAAAGCTGAAAAGTCGCATTATGACCTTTGCAGTGTTGGTTGGCTCAGATCTGGTTGCTTCTAGGAACGGATTCGATAGTGTATCTATAAGCTTTTAGCTTCCTTCATAATTTAACTAAGAATAAATTATGTATACTAAAAGAAATACAAATGTTTTAAATGTGTAATGAATAATATTTCTTGAATGTTAATCTGAATTAACATACAACAAGCATAAACAGAATAGCTCACATACTGTACAAAAATAATCAGTAAATTTTATTTTAACAGCTCCTCAGACTCCATATAATGTTAAAGTTGTAGGCATGACTGCAACAACATTTGATATTACTTGGAGTATAAATGGACCAAGGCCAGGACTTACAACATATATTATAATGCTTACAGCAGATGTTCCTGCAGAGTCAATGAACTTTACTGCTACTGGTAAATATATTTCCATTCATTTCTCTTGTAGGCAAAACAGCTACATTTTGCCCATTCAAGTGTCAATAGTGAGAGAGAAGACAAATGTCAAAATAACTACAATTTGCCATAATTATTGTCAATTTAAAGTTCTTCTTCACATATAAAATCTATAACCTAAATGACCCATGGAAATTGCTGATTGGTTATGTATTGGCAACGTTCATTTGATAAAAACAGTAAGGCGATCATTTATATTTTAGGCAAAATTTATATTTCATCCTTGACATTTACAGTTCCAATTACTGGTCATTGACTATTAAGACGGACACTATTTTGAAACATGTAATTAATTCTACTGAACTTGCCAGTATAAAAATATAAATAATGTCAAGTATACAAAAGTTTTCCCATACGCTGTATTCGTGTAAATTGTATGTCTTGTCATAAACATTTAAATAATGTTCAGGTTTTGCTTTGAGAGAATACAAAGCATTTGGATTACAAGAGTACTGGAATTACAGTGTCGCTTTGATGGCCAGTACATCAATTGGAAGCAGTAAATCAGCAGTGACAAATGAGTACAGGACTTCACCTGCAGGTAATCCGTGAACACAGAACTGATTTCAAATTGTTCACCCTAGAATGTCTGAATTACGAGAATTCATCAATGCAGTATCATTAATAATTTTTTTTCAGAAGAACAAATTTTCTACAATTTGTTAACAATAATTTCCTTGTACAAGAATACAAAGTTTCAGACGTTTAATCCAAGGTTTGTTTATCTTTCAATAACTGAAAAAGGCCAACCCAAGTGTATTTCTTCTCTTGTAGCGATGTTCTGCAAGATATAATTGTAGTAAAGAAAAAAGGGAAAAAAGCCGCAGGGTGCCTAGGTAGCGAATATGATGGATGTTAAAGGACAGTCAATTTTCTTTAAAACAAATCAATAACGTTTGTGTGCAGGAGCTTTGTCTTGCAGAAAATGCCTATCATACGAGTCAAAGGACAAAATTTATTGAAGTGTTTCTCATTTACTCTTCAAACGATGTATCTAGAATACTTGCATGTAACAGAACGACCTCTAAAAAAGAGAATTTTGACAGAAGTTCCATTGGTATTAAAACATATAACTAACAAAACTTTTGTGACATTTTAAGAAATTTTTGAGCGCATTTGTGCTTCTTCTCCCTGTGACATGTTAGCAACTTAAGTCTAGCCGTTATTCGCCTAACCTTCGAGTGATTCTTCAAAATCGTATCAGTTGGCCCTTTTGATATCGCTGCGATATTGGCTATTGTTGTTATTTAAAGTCTGGCATCTATGTAAATGATAAGCCTGACTTTATGAATGTTTCTGACAGTAACTATGGCACTTAGAGGCATCTTTGACTTGTGCTCATTTTTACATCCACCTAGAAACAGTTGCATAAGATACATCATTGTTGACATACATGTTACAAATATCATAATAAACATTCCTAACCTTTCTTGAGATTTTATGTAAGCCCGTGTTTCAGCGTCCTTCAACAGAGCGTTAACGAACCATTTTACATGAAATATAAATTATATGCGAATAATAATTCTAATCGGTTAACTACATACATGATTTTGTTTCATTTGAAAACAGATACAGATGTGAAAAATACGATAATTGGAATCTTTATATCCGAATGAACTTTTACACACTTTATGTTCCAAGAGGATAATCAATGTGTTTGCCATCCAGATATTAAGGACTAAGATTCTATAATTTGCGTAAAAGAAGTTATCAGACAACTTTCAGGATGAATCAAATAAAGAATTTATTATGATCATATTATAAAATAATAGATGTATAGACTTGAATATCGACCTTATCATATAAAAACTTTATGATATAACTTATCTTTATGATTACGGGGCAAAGTTTGGCATAGCCACGAACGGAAAATGTTTCTATATGCAAAGTAGAAGCCAAACTTAAATATGAATTGCTATGTAAACCTATGTTGCTAATTATAGCATCAAGATATAGAACTTTACGTATTCTTGTGTTTGATTTTTAGCACCTGGCAAAGTTTCCGAATTTTCTATAGAACCACATCCCGATGAAGACTTTACAAAAATGAAGATATCATGGGAAATGCCGACTATATTAGACAGAAATGGAGTCATCAAAAGCTACCGTTTCGAAAACTATGAACCAGGGGTATGTGTTTGAATACATAAAGAAGTCTTTATGTTTGTTACTTCAACAATGTATGCCCTATATTTAATTAAGAATGCGTTAAAAATCATTTGCGCACGATTTTCGTTGTATTATTTAAAATGTAGGTTGTAATTTTACATATGTAACAATTTTTCAACGTTTGAACCATGTGATGCTCTGGTCATTATACATTGTGTTTAGAACAATACTGATTCTGTTAAGAAAAACCTATATCAGACTCGGCTAGTGACTCGTCAAATATATATTTTACAGTCGTACGTGTACACTTACAATACAATTCCGTATTTAATTTAACATTGTACTATAATCTCATGACTGCCAGCTATTCATTTATTGATTTTGACGTTCAAGATGATGTTGTACAATGTATGATTTTTATCATAAGTGAGCACATGTGAGCACCAATCGCCTTATAAATAACAAATATGAAATAAAAAAAATGATTCCATATATTATTATGAAAAACTAAATTTTTCCACGATTTGTTAATGTGATTCTCCTTCAAATCCTGTGTATCAAATAAGGACTTCTTTTTAACTTTATGGAATATTTTGGTGCCACGATAACCGGCAACCTTTTGCATTTTCTTTAAGTTGTTTAACTGCCATGTCTTTAAACATTACAACACATGCTCTAATAAGTGTCTTTAATTTCTTTAAGAATGTGACGGCGACAACAAATTTTCAACAGAATCGTCTGGGTTATATTTACACAAAAACGGTACTTGTAGAGCCAGAAGAACAATACACATTTAAGGTAAATAAATTTTTACCTTTTTAAAACATGCAAAAGCTAAATAGAATATACAAGTACCTTAAATTAAATGAAAACGTGTGTGGTTTTCCGGTTAAACGCTACACACATGTGAACGACCAAAAATATTTCTGTGTACATTTTTATGCACCAGGTTGACCGTTCGTCTGATATTATGTTATTTTTAATCCTCTCTATTTTCGGAACCGATAGACAGAAATCGAAACTTCTTAGAAGAAAACGTTAAACTATTATGAGTTAACAGGTTTTGAATTCCCCGGTTCAAGGTCACAGTCATTAAATGTGTATTTCAAATCTTGTGTAAATTGTATTAGTAATGATATGTTGTAAAACAGGTTTGAGCATTCTCATATGAAAATTTCTCCAACCAGGGAGTGACTCATCATCGGTTCCCCACGATATATATTCCGTACATACTTCATTATCTACCTTGGGATATTCATATATCGAAGTATGTACGGAATATATACCGTGGGTAACCGACGATGGGAGTGACTTAGACTGCAAATACTTATATTTGAAAACATATTTACGTCTTAATGTGCCAGTCTACAATCATGCCTTACGCTTAGCTTTTTGGCACATTGTGAATTTCTACAAATGTGATATAAATCATGCCCTGTGGTCAATATTAGCCTGTCCCGGGGTGACTCTTTACATAGAAAACCCTTTGGTATACATTCCAATAATTGAGATATTGAGCATTTATTATTGTCTAATATACCCCTACAAAATTTCAAAGTTTCATTATCCTGATGTAAAACATTGCTCTGCAGGGGGCAGACTGGAGTCGCAATAAATTTACATAGCTTTATACATTAAACATATTAACTAAAATCTCTTTTCCTCTGAACATACATTTTCAAGAGCATAGATACATGCATTTAGTATGTTTCATGACTTTGATGTTTTTTTATAAAGGGTTCTGTTTTGTGGTACTATTTTGTTTTATTTGTTTTACTGGTAAAACTTTCATTTATATAAAGTGTCTTATAATTTGAAAGGCACATCAGTCTGAGGAATCCATATTTTTTTTAGAAATGTCAAAGATGTGTTTATCTAATATCTAAATGATTAATTAAGAATATGTTAAAAGTTATACAACTAAAAGTAACCTTGAGCATACTGTTATGTGTCTCTAAGGTAGCAAAATGTAAACCAAGTAGTATTTTGACTTCCATACAAAATACTAATTCACTATAATTTTATCAATTGCCAGCAGAGCTAAAAATGAAAAAGATAGTTCAGATGTATAGCAAATTTGTATATTTTTTAGGAAACAGTAGAAAAAGGACGAAAAATAAACAGTTTGTCAGAAATAAAAATGTCACCATTTCTGAGCAATAATGGGTCTTTACTCATTTACAAACCAACATGATTGCTGCTTAAAGTCAGAATATATAGAGTATTGTTGAAAGTCAGTAAATATAGATTTTTAGGAGACTTGAGTAACTGTGGATAACTTCAATGATACGGACTGTCATGCACATAGGGTTATACATGCCCCCACCCTGGTGGTTTTGTATCATAAGGAAAACTAATACACGTATAAAATATGTTCCAGCAAACTTAAATGCATGAGTTTCTTCCGTTATGTAAAACTAATCAAACACATCTGCATTCGGGCATAGGTACTCTTATGCTTTTGTTTAAAGATACGTCTAGATAAGTTATTCGTATTAATCTTATATCATTGCTATTAACGCAATATACTTTGTAAGATCATTTTGTGTGTAGTGTTGTTACTGATTCAAAAAAAATCTTGTCAAAGTGTTTCAAAGATATAAAAAAATATATTTATTTATTGATATAATAGATATGCTAAGCTAAATCTTTACATCAAAACTTCCGTGGTCCATTGGTTAAGTTCATTGACATCAAACATATTGCCCCTCACTGTCCAGGGTTTGAACCTGCTTGTACCTTTAAGAACGCACACAGGGACACCAAGTTTTTACTTTATCTACGAAAGACTAAAAAACTAAACAATTCAAACTTACATTTACATCAAGTAAATAATTGTCAAAACGCTTCCAACAAAAATATTTCTTTTGTCAAACAAAATACTGCGTCAAAGAAATTATAACTGATATCAGAAAATATTGTTTTGTATTTCAACGAGGAATATTTTCTTGATATCAATAAATTACTGATTAAAACTACTTTGAAATGATGCTTAATACTTTGTCTTTTTGTTTGTTATAAAGTGGTTTTAGGAATAAGATTTCTATATCAGATCATGGACAGTAAAAGACAAGGGGAGTAATCCTTTACTTATGTTTGTAATGATGTGATGAACGCACACTTTGCGTAAATACAAGTTATACAAAATTAGCTCAGATATTTAAGTTGTAGGTGTTTGCAATAAATGAACAAAACATGGAAGGAGAACACATTATGGTTACAACAATGGCTCCTGCAGGAGGTATGTTACTTAGATATTTTAGCCTTTTTAACTCTTTCTTTTTGAAGTCAAAAATAATTAATGGATAATTAATGGACAATTTTAACTACATGTAGTAATTAGCTACTTTTTGAAAATGTCTTAAACTAATTTATCTAATGAAATTTTGAAGAAAAAAAAGCTGTGTTACTTTTGAACACAGAAATGGACTGTTAATATATATATCTTTTATTAGTTTGGTTCTTTCTGTCATAAAACGAGTAGTTATTAATGTGTGTCATAGTAAATGTATTTTTTTTTCGAACTTCTTTGTACATTTTTGAATTAAGGATATAATGTGAAAGGTTTTTATTTATAGATATAATTTATGTGGTGGTAAGAGGTAATAATTTGTTAAAGTAAATACTATGAGAAAGCAACTGTCATTTCAGTTCCTTTAAACATCGAGGAAAGTTTAAAAATGGATGTTATCGATTTACAACGAGAGAAGACTGTAACTGAAAGACAAATAACGATTACATTAGTTCGGGAGTTTTTTGAAGAATCTACAAATGGCAAAGTACAAACCACTGGGCTCGTAGTATGTGTAAACAGCTGTGACTTTGAAGGTATTCTTTACTATCATTTGTATAAGTTGTGAAAAAACATAATGATCATGCAAGGCATTAAAAAATTGCAGATGATATGAAACTTAAACGGAAAATCAGCCAGAAATGTCAATTATTAATACTACCCTGTTGATTTGGTGACCCCTTATTAAATGTTATATAAAATATCTTATAGGCGTAATGACAATAATAGATGTGAATGCAATGGAAAATTGGACAGGAGCATCAAAGAAAGGTTTGACGTCATATCGGGCGACAAAATCTGACTGGTTAGATAGGGCTAATACACAATGTTCATGTGGTATGTCGCAATTCTTAATTAGATGTTTGAATATTTAGAACTCAACTCGAGTATCATTCATTTTGATAACAAGCACGTGTCAGTTAATTGTAGTTTTTATATCTTCATTAGTGAGACTGAGTGTAGGACTTATATATGTTTGAAAGATTTGACGGAATCAATTGAATTGGTCCTTCTCTACAAGTATGTTTTGAATTATTAATAAAAAGACTTGCACAGTGCATAATTCTTAATGTAAAGGAAAATCATTTACCTAACCTTAAACCCTCTTGAACAAACGGATGATTAGCCTGTACCACCGACACGCACTCTGAACATGTTTTCATGTTTGTTTCTTAAATTTCGTATTTTTCATTAAAATACCATCAAAGACCGGAAAATTCCATTTCAAATATTTAGCTGAAATTGTTTTTGAAAAGATGGAATCAGTTCAACATTGGGACCTTGTATGTTCCCAAAAGCGCTGCCCTGTCTGTCTTTTTCTGTACGTCCAGAGAATAATAAGTATAGAAAGAATTTGAGTTAGTCTTTACACAGTGATAAAGATCAGTAAGAGGAATTAAAGTGTTCAAGAACCATAAATTTTACTTTGCTTTTTTTAAATATCTTCCATTAGATGATAGGTTGTGCGGTATATAATTTCTAAACTTTGATATACCATTGAACATTCACACAGTTGTAGAGACTAATGAGAGGAAGTGAAGAGTAAGATAACTAAAACTACATGGCTTACTTTTTTAATTATCTTCCTTTATATAACTTTATACTGCTTGTCAGGATTATTACTTTAAATTAGTAAGAGGAAGTGCAGAATACACAAGTCATTATTCTATATTGATTAAAATTAAGAACTATCTCCCGTTATGATAGTAAAAAAATCAATTTTAATGCTTGTCTAGAGTTTAACTTCTTAGCTGTCAAAAATAAAATTATTGTTAAAACTGCTAAACTATAGAAACTAGTCAGAGAAAGTGCAATGTCAAAGAACCATATCTCTACATAACTTGGCTTTTAAATAATCTTAAAATACATAATAATGCTTGTCCAGTGAATAACTTGGAAAGCGTTGTAGAAAACTGTTTAAATTTCACACAGTTATAGAGAAAAGCAAATAAAAGTGCAGTGTACAAAAGCTATAATTCTTGTTTGGTTTCTTAATTATCTCCCTTTATGATAAATATTGCAGTGTGATAGACACAAGAGAGAGAGAGAGAGGGAGAGAGAGAGAGAGAGAGAGAGAGAGAGTATGTTGACCAAAGTCAATAACGCTGCCTTAAATAGTTTTTATTTTGCTCTCACAGCCATAATTGATTAACGTGCTTTGCCTAACTAACAAATGTAAAGATTTGGATCAGCGAAATTAAAGCTCTATTAATGATTTTTATATTATTTGTGGTATTGTTTTTGTCATGTTTCCATGATTTTGATTGTTTTATTTCTAGGAATTAATAAACTGGAAGTAACAAATTTTAAGTACATTGTTATAGTTTATTTTACGGATAAATAAACTTGAAGTAACAAATATTAAGTACATTGTTATAATTTATTTTAGGGAGAAATAAACGGGGAGTGACAAATATTGAGAACCTTGTTATATTATTTATTTTCATGTAGAAATAAATGAGAAGTAACAAATATTGAGTACATTGTAATAGTTTATTTTTAGGAAGAAATAAACGGAAAGTAACAAATATTGAGTACATTGTTGGCATAATAGATTTTATTGTGTTAATTCACTCAAAGAACTCTTTAATACAATTCCATCAAAAAACATCATTGATTATTTGAATGAGATTAACTTGTATTCTAGGATCTTATTGGCTCATTTTTATTGTCATTTACAAAGTTTTACATAACATTTTAAGACATTTATAGCATTCCGCACGATATGGTCAGTTATGTGTTGACGTGCCGTAAAAATCAAAACAAACAAACAAAAACCTCAACATGACTCGTACTTGTCACAGAAAAAAAACGTGTTAAAACGACGATGTACGTGTATTTATTCTATGACCTAACGTGCTCGTATATATATTATGGTTAATCATAAATTCAAGTTCCATACAAAATTGTGTTTCTATTAAAAAAGGCCTATTTAACTCGAATTTTGGAGCACCGTACAGCACTGAATTCAAACACCGCATTCTTTTTCCGTTGGACCGGTTAATACTGGAACCCTTTTCTTTTGCACCATAATTTATAGATAACTGTTTATTTACCTGTTGTTATGTTATGTTGCTGTTATCATATGTCATTTTATGGAAAACATATCTCAAGGTCTGATCTATGTAAATTATACCAGTTAGATAATTGCAAAGGTATCTATATAGATAAGTAAGTACTTTTTCGATCTTATACAAACGGATAAACATGGAAAGATCATTCTTCGATGAGGTTACCAGGCATTTTGTTGTGTAAAAAGATTCTTTCAATAATCATTTCCCAACTGATTCAGATGATTCCGCCGTGCATGTTGCCAAAATATTTTGTCGGTTTAATCGGTTGACATTAAATCGCTTGAATGTAATTGTTGATGCAAATTATAAGATGAATTCTACTGAGCGTTTAAAAGTGTTAAACTTTGTTTTTACGAAAACCCGATGTGAATTGAATTTTAGTGTTTTTTATCGTGCACTGAACCACAAACTTTGCATTGGTTCACCACCATGTACATGTATATACCATTAAACTGAATCACATTTTTCACTTTATTGTTGAATTTGTTCACATTGCTTTATCTCTTGCATCACAGTGAAGGGATTTCATTATTTATTTTTTTGATTAGTTATCCGAAACTCATGATGTCCAGTTACGACTATTGAAAGGTATTGTTACATCTTTTTCTTCACGGAAACAAAATGTTCATATATTTGGTGTTTGTAGCGCTAATAAATGCATCTAACCTCGTAAATGTTTTAATGATTTATTGATCTGTTCATGATCTTGAATATTTATAGACATTCATTGATTGCAGGGTCGTCAATGGCCGAGTGGTAAATGTCGAGCATATGTACGTATAAATGACTAAAAAACATAACAAGAAAAAATATTTGATAGTATTATCAAAACAGGAAGTTCACATTTTTATCCTTATTCTAGCCCCCCCCCCCAAACACCCTTAAAGTCATCTAATTTGATAAAGTTGCAAAAGTCATAACACAAATTATCATGGTGTAGTTTTTGCAGGAACCATAATCTCTTCAGTCATGATCTCCAAGGTGCTTTTTACGGAAGTTTGATTTCATACTCTTTTTCTTATGTGGTGCGTAAAGCACATCGTCCTGAAATACTGAGGCGCTGATCAATTGGCATATTGCTGATACAAGAACATTAAGTTGGGAGGTCTCACGTTGGCACTTATACTCCAACATGCTTCAGTATCTCCTGAAAGTATTTGTAGTTTTGCTAATTTCTCACGTTGCTTTGGTTTGTTAAGACATAGGTTTGAACGTAAGCAAACATTAACATTGTGTGAAACGTTGAAAATAAACGGTGCCAAAAAAACCAATAAAATCAATTTACAAATCCCGCTCTTTGGAAGCTAACGGTTGGTGTCTGTTCAATTCAGTTCAGTTCCTTCATTTCAGCGGAAAAAATACTATTTTTACTAACAATTCGGCCAAACTGTTTGTCGGTGTAAAAACCCGTCACTATACATACTAGAACAGAACAGAACATAACTGATTTCCGTCAGAGTAGCATATATCATACGAGCTATTCGGCTGCATGGTTTGGTGCATTGATGGTAGCTCTTATCGGAAAATTAAGGCCCGGTCACACGCCCTCCACGGGCGTATCGAGGCCGAATAACGGCCATAAATTTCTTCCTGTGAAGCAGACGCCGTTCGACGCTTTGAGGTCGCGATAAAGACGCGATACAGCCGTACTTTACCCGTCGTTACACGTGGTATGAAAAAGTTTTGGGCTGCCGAAAAATTTAGACCGCGAGTAATCGCGGGCGGTACACGTGGTACACACGCGGTAAAGACGCGGTACAGACGCGGAACGAACGTGCTAGGACGTGCTGAGGCCGCGGTTAAGACGTGGTTACACGCGGTAGGACGCGAAATTTTAGCGGGTAATCGCGGATGGAGCACGGTCATAGCACGTTTGTTCCACGTCTGTACCGCGTTGTTATCACGTGCATTAGCGTGTGTACCGCGTGTAAGCACGGACAAACGCCTTTCTCCGCGTTAACAGCGCGCCCCAATACCGGCCTTATCACGTTCAATTGCGTCTTGTATACGTCCCAAATACGATCGTCTATGGCCTAATCGCGTCCGTACAACGTCTGATTTTAGGTATATAAAAAGCGCGATTTGCCGAGCATTCGTCAGTTGTGCTCCAGACGTAAAGGGGTGAACATGGATCCCCGTCACCGTACTGAACTCGTTTTGCTGCTCCAGTCGTACAGGTCCATCAGCTCCTCATTGACAGAAGAAGACGAAGGAGGAGGGTGGTCCGGAACATCTGGGTGCGCGACTGGATTGGCGGGAGACCTGAGCTTGGGCTGTACGATCGTTTCATGGTGGAGCTCCGTTATAAAGATCCAAGGGCCTTCCAGAACTTCATGAGAATGCAACCTGCCATGTTCGATGAAATTGTGCAGAGACTGACAACAGCCCTTACCAAGGAGACCACCAACTGGCGAGCACCCCTTGATCCAGGCCTGAAGGTTGCCCTCACCCTGAGGCACCTTGCTTCTGGCGCCAAGTACCGTGAGATGCAGTATGGCTGGAGGGTCCCTCACAACACCATCAATCTGGTGTTGCGCGAAGTGTGTGCGGCCATCGTCGAGGAGTTCCGTGATGAGCTGCTCGCGCCACCACAGACTTCCGCAGAGTGGCGTCAGATTAGTGACAATAAGATGAACAGTTGGAATTTTCCGCATGTCATTGGTGCAATAGACGGCAAGCACATTGCCTGTAAATCTCCTGCCAACACTGGGTCCGACTACTTCAACTACAAGTGCTTCTTCATTGCCATCCTCCTGGCAGTCGTCACATCTGACTACAAGTTCCTCTGGATAGACGTCAGCGGCAAGGGGTCTTCGTCTTATGCCCACATCTACAATGCAAGTGATTTCAGAGAGGGTCTCCAGAACAATGACATTATTTGGTTCCCACAGCCTGATCCTCTCCCAGGTGACACTGAGAATATATCTTACTTTCTGATGGGAGATGATGCTTGCGCACTCCGGACCTACATCATGAAGCCGTATAGTAACAAGGACATGACCAGGAAGCAGAGGATATTCAACTATAGACACTCGCGAGCCAGAAGGGTAGTTGAGAATTCGTTTTGCATCCTTGCCAACCGATTTCAAGTTCTCCTGACTGCATGAAACTGACACTGTGAGGCTCCTGGTCAAGGCGTGTGTACTCCTCCACAACCTGATGAGTACACGTTACCCGGTGATGCAGAACAGACTGGTGGATTTCGAGCGTCCAAATGGAGCCCTCTTCCGACACAGGATCCTCCTCCTCCACTCGCATGACCCCCTCCCCAGTGTTGGCAGCGGGTGTGGTCACAGGGGTGGTGATGGCAGCAGTGGTAGTGGCAGCAGATGTAACACCTGAAAAGGCAGAATGATAAAAGTATTTTTTAATAAACAATAATCGTTTATAAAAAATATACATACAAATAATAATTTTGGGGGGGGGGGGATAATTTCTTCAGCGACATGCTTTTCATTCCAAATTTGGCACACGAGATAAAATATCCTCCCATTAAATTGTTTCTAATCACAGTATGCATTGCACGTTACTCAAAATTAATAGTTTACACAAAATAAATTTAAAAAAAGATTTCCTACTTATCTTCTACAATGCATAACAATTTTTTTATATATGAATGAATTTTGAACGAACAATGGTCCACCATTTTTTGACGAAGATTTAAAAATTATAACATTAATTGTACTCACCATCAAGAGATTTTTCCTCCCCTTCAACTAGACTGGCAGCTCTTGGACTGAGAGCATGACTTGCCTCGACCTCGCCACGAGCACTCGGAACTTCGGCAGCAGAGTGGACGACAGCTTGCACCTCCACTGTGACTCTTGCCTTGGGCTTCTTGGCGGCCTTCACTGGCACTGGGCTGCCTTCATCTGCTGCCTTCGCCCTCGGCTTCTTGCTCGCACGCTGCTTCTTCTTCTTGGTCGTGGAACTCGACGTGGGCTCTTCTTCGGTGCCATAGCTTGATCTTCACGGGACTGGGCGGTTATGATTTCTACAACCCGGTTCGGCTGCTTTATTATACCCGTGGTAGGCCGCGGTACCGCCGCGCTTCACCCGCGATAAGAACGCGGAACAGTCGCCGGCGTCTGTACCGCGGGCATACCACGGGTAAACCGCGGGTAAGCCAATTTTGCACATTTTCCACCACGGGCAACCGTGGGCAATAACAATCGCGAAATTTTAACCGCGATACAGACGCGAAAGGCTGTGTGACCGGGCCTTTTAAGACGGTTGAATTGGGTAGTCCAAGTTTTTAATCAGGCAGTAGAAATTTAATTTGAGTTGAATTAATAGAGCTAATGACGAATTAGCGCTTGGGCAGTTATAAAATGAAACAAATGTTACGGTTATTAGCGAGATATGTCTTTTATATAATATAGTTACATCCCCTCAAAAGGAATCACCCAGGGGACTCAGTCGGTTATTTAATCAAATCCCTAAGGTAGTCTGTTTTTCGGATATTGTATATATTTCTCTGAAACAGTGAAACAAACGTTTACCATAATAAGTTTGACAATATGTTTAATGGCTAAATAACAAAATGGTTACCATTTTCGTTTGATTCTAAATAAAAATTAAATAATGTAACTCCGTAACACCGTATTTTACCACGCAGTTAAAAATCGTACTTACTCGCTTATTCACACGTACCCAATAGGTGTTTTGAGTTTCAAAAACGTAAGTTTTCCGTAGATTCAAAACAACGGCGGCGGTGTAATAATTCAAAATACAGATTTTAAATATTATTTTGTACATTTAGCTTTTTAATATTTAGTTTATTAAAATTAAACATTTTAAAGAAACCAATTCAGAAAGGCATCACTAATGAAGCCCAAAGGATTATCCTTAACCAAATTTGGGTCAAAATTAAAAAATCTTGTATAAGTGACGCAATCTAATGTAATTATGAAACTCTTCCATATGCAGCCTGGTGATATATGAAATAACGGCCCAGTGTCTCTTGTATATTTTGTTTGTTTGTTTGATTGGGTTTTACGTCATACCAACACAGTATAGGTCATTTGGCGACGTTCCAGCTTTACTGTTGGAGGAAGACCTCAGGTGCCCTTCCGTGCATTATTTCAGGCTCGCTCGAACAGGCACCTGAGTAGAACCACCGACGTTCCGTAAGCTAGCTGGATAGCTTCCTTACATGAAAGAACCCAAAGTCACTTTTGGAAATCGAACCCACAGCGGTGAGAGGCAAGTGGTTTGAAGTCAACGACCTTAACCATTCGCCACTGACGCCCTCGAGTCTCTTGTATATACAACATATGCACCATAATACATGTAGTAGCTCTAAAAGATACAATGTAGCTATTTATAAATTAAATAGGTTCCGTGGCAGTTATAATAACAACTAATGAATCTATTATCTATTGTCACAATTAATTAACCTCATTCACTTTCAATTAATTTAAATTGTGGAAATATATGTACACCGTTCTAGGAAAAGCATCTTACTTTTATTATCAAAAGAATGGATTTGTAATATCAAAAATATCGTATTATCGTCTGCTACGAATCTGAAATTTTGCCTCATGTTTACGTTCTTTCAGGACGTTCATTACGGATTCCTTGTAAGATTTTATATGAATCAATTTCTTTTACCACAGACCTTTCGGGATGCATTCCGCTACTTTTCCAAAGCTTGTAAAAAAGCATTGACAATTTTATTTTATGTTTGTATGAACGCTGAATATTTCTTTTAAATGAGAGAAAATTTCACAGAAAACTAGAAAATGACCATTTAATCTTATATCCATTTGTTCAGTTTGTGTATGGGTGTATAATATAAATCATTAGTAATTGATTTTGATACTTACTTTTTGCACTGGCATAAGAAAAAATCGTAAAATATTCTCTTTGAAATTCTCTGAATTCAATATACATGTATTAATTAATAAATGATAACGCCCCCCATAGCAATAATAAACATGAATCATTGTTTTTATTGCTCTATATATGGAAGTTATGTATGCATAACTCAAATGTTCCAACTAATCATGAACATTTTTAACTTTCGATTAGCTTACATTCAAAGCGGTCCGTAGAGAATAACCCCAATTAACGTCACATCCTGCAAGGGAAGTTACTCTTCCTCGACGCTAATCGCTTAAATAAAAGGGTCTATAACGAGATATATATTATTTATAATGTGTTTACATCCCTTTGCAATAGATTACCAGGAGACTGACTTGGTTATTCGCGTTTACATTCAACTACCAACCAGAAGTACTTGGTTATTGGAACATTACATGTATTTCCCTAAAACATAAAACAAATTTTCAGAATAAAAGTAACAAATATAATTATGAAAAGAAGAATTAATTCTTACAAATAATATTCCCCCGTCTTCCGTCTTCTCGATCAGGGGTCTTAGTTGGTTATTCGCGTAAATCCCAAACTATCTACCAGGAGGTAGTTGCTAAATTCGAAACTTCCTTGTTTTCCCCTTAAGAGTACTTTTCCGTAAAAAACGTAATGGAAATATAACAAGAAAGATGTTTTCTCCAACATGGAAAGACACTGTCTCATTGTGTCCACTAGAGGACTCAGTTGGTTTTTCCGTGAATCCCTAACTACCTACCAGAAAGTAGTTGGTTATTTGAACTTTGCATGTTTTCCCCTCAAAACAGAAAGTATTTCGGAGTAGATATAACGAATATAAAGCAATAAAGATGTGTTCTCCAACACGGAAACACTATGTCTCCTTATATCGACCAGGGAACTCAGTTGATTATTTGTGCGAATACAGAACTGCTTACTCGATGTTAGTTAGTTTTTCGGATGTTGCACATGTTTCTCTGAAAACGGAAAGTTTTTTTTAGAAATAAATATTACTGTTATATAACCAGTAAAGTGTTTCCTATATACTACAATTACCCCCTGCACTAAAATCGGATAGACCCCTGGTCGAATTAATGTGAAGTTGGTGTTTTATATTGTAGAAAACATTATCTTTTCATAAATCCATTACAATTTTTCCAAACAATATTTATTGTTTTAAATGGAATGTATGCGACATCCGACTACTCTCTTTTATTCCGTTTTCACGAATGAATGATGTGTTGAATATTTATGCTAGTATGTGGATTGAATTACCAACTACCAGCTGTTATATAGTTGAGAATTACGATTAACCAACTACCCTCTATTAGGATAGGTTATTTGGATATCCTACTACCACCCTGACGGTCATGAACTACTGTATACGTGGATATTTATGCGTCATAAAAACTTTGCGAATGTCAAAAAGTGGACTTTTTGCGTGCGGAAATATATTTGTGAAAATAGGATTTCTTGAATATAATACTTTTTGTGACATCATTTATCAAGCAGGTACATATTAGAAATATGCCGTTATATCAGTTGTTCAATACCTTTTTTATCTATATAATTGTTTGAAATATACATTGATAAAGGATCATACCTCTCTTTGTCATATTTTGAAACATTCCTTTTTTATATAAATTACCTATTGTGTTACTAACACATATATTGTTTCATTCAAACATTTGTGATTTGTTAAGACCGAACGTAAAACAAACAAGCAATAAGAAAAAAATTTAAAAAATTAATCTCACTACCTGAGCAGTAAAACTTATTTATGTATGACGCTGTATGAAAACGTTTTTTCAAATGATAGAAGAAAATTTGCCTAAAACAAAATAATAATTTTTGCGCGATCAAATATTTGCAAATTATTTCAATTTGCAAAATTCACTATTATTTCCACATCGCAAAATTAGAACTTACACAGTAATTATCATGACATAGAATTTGCCAGTTATTTCTGTCATCATAAAATACCAAGATGTTGCAAATTTCTCTGAAAGTTTGAAAAAAGTTGCCTTAAAAAAGCTGGAATATATGCAACATATGAAATTTTGAAATACAAAATTAAACTTAAATTTTAAATATTCACTTCGAATGAACCCAACGACATTTTACTGACTTATTAAAATAAAATCATACTTGTGTACCTAATAGAACTGCCAGCTTAAATACTAAAACTTCTCCTTAAAATCATGGCATTTACACGACTATTGTCTTCTTTAAACATTACCCCCTCAAACATACAGGCAACACAGCAACCATTTTGAAATTCCTGTTAAATACTTCCGTTTTTTCCCACATTTAAGAGAAAATTATTGGCGAAACATGTACAGCAGCAACTCCATGTTCAGCAAAAAATTCCCAGTGCACAGGATTATGTACTTGCAAAACTGGTTATTTCACAAAAGGAAACTTTTGTCTGAGTATGTATATATTATTTGTATTCATTTCAAAATTAAAGAAGTTTGTTGTTTTCAGACAACAATTATATCAGTGAAGACAATGAAAAAATCAGGCAAGTTTGAAGTGTCAGACGTTTTAAAGTTAGAAAGTAGTCATTGGAATTTTATGTCGACATATACAATTAAATAATGGTTATTTTTCAGCCTGAAATATAAAATTTAGGAAATAGATATCAATTCTGAGTGCATTGTTGTAGAATAATGCACGGTTTGAGTTCAAATGCGTAGTAATATAATCACGAAGGCTGATAGGCCTGAGTGATTAATAACAAAGCATTTAACACGTCAAGAAAAAATATAATTATTATTATAAAGTTGGACTTTATGTGTGGTGGTTAAAATTGTTTTCGCCTCAGAGTTTCCAATAGAAACGTTCTTTAAAGGCTGTTCCAGTGGGTTGAAAAAAACAGCCGTTAAATCTACCGTGTGTAGAAACATTTTGAGAATAACGAATTTTGAAAACGTTGACAAAACTTTGTTTATTTATTCTATTTCACTCTATAATTTTTCAAGCGAAATACAAATTATTAAAAGTGAAATAAATGAAAAACTTAACTCGTTTGCGACATTAAAATAGCATACCTGACTTGATTGTTTTGCACGTGCTGTTTGGCGCTACATTGTGACGTCACGTAAACAACACTTTAAACGTCTATACAGCGTTAACGACTGAATTAATGATATTGGTGTTCGGACTCATTTTCTTAGTTAGACCATTTTCTTTCATTCTAGATAGTTTTCATCACAAAATTCGACAAAAAATGTTTTTTATTTATCAGATTTTCAAACAAAATGGCGCCCTCAATGTGAAAATACACAGGGAGATAATAAGAACGGCGAGTGCATTTTTGTAGAATAATGCTAGCTTCGGGCCTTCTTTGTTTATATAGAAAAAAATCCGATAGTGTTAGAATAATGTATTTAGCTCCTTTGTCAAACGGACACAGAAAGCCTTTCTAATACATCATAGACATTGGCTCAAAGGTTTAATTTTTAGTTTGCATGTTTAAAACATATTCTAATCAGTTAATATTTGATATTGTTAAGCCTGAGAAACTTTTGAATCTTTTCAGAGAGATATCTCGGTGAGACTTGTGAAACAGATTCCCATTGCTCTCAAATTACTGATGGTGAATGTAGTAATGATTTTTGTTCGTGTCCATTAGGATTCTTCAAGACGGCAAACGGTCAAGCAGGCAGATGTACAAGTATGCTAATCTGAAAGAAAAAGTTTTATAAAGTTTTATTCTATTTAAAAAGTTTATTCTTCAACAAAAAGAAAATATATTCAATAAATGCATGAAATATATGCAGTTAAGCTAAGTGGTTTGATTTGTACAGTTTGAAGTTGGCTATAGTCGAAATAGATTAAATATTAAATTACTTCATAATGTACTTGTCTTCAATAGTAGATGTTTTGTACATTGTACGCACGCCTTTAGAAATAGACAATATTCGTTACATTGTATTTCATCACAACCTGTCTGGATATATTTCAGAAGAGAGACATTTAGACGAGAGTTGTGAAAACGATTTCCATTGTAGAGAACAAAACAGTGAATGTAGGGGCACCATATGTTTGTGTAAGAGTGGATACTATCAGACCGCCATCGGACCTTCAGGCACTTGTATTAGTATGCTATGTACATAAAACTTTTATTTAATAGGAAAATTAATCTATTTATGCATTGCAATTTATTGCTGTAATTGTTAATATTATTTTGTTTACGGTTATTACGAAAATATTCCTTTTCATTTTTAGATGCCTGTGAAAACTTTGTTTTTAAAAAATGTTTATTTGATTAGTCAGGTACAAATGTGTTTATTCATTATTAAAATATATGTATTTGGTTAAGACTGCTACTTTATTAATCTTTAGTTTGTAAGTGTATGTTTTTTTTGTCTGAATGAAGTTATTTTGAATATATGATTTGCAATGAAATAGTTTTATATGTTTAACCACAGCTGCGCATTTGAATAAATTCATATTATAAATAGGACTAAGTAGCCATAATATGTGATTTTACGTATGTTTAGTAGATAATCATATACTCATGCATGTAAATTTTCAATTCAGAAGACATTTAAATTCAACTCAAAATAACTTATTTTAGCTTTATTTTATGTTAGTTCGTATATTATTTAAACCGCAAATATTTATTTCCGATTGATGAGGAAACTAGAGCTTATAGACACGCTTTTTAACCTTTCTATTGAACCAACCAGTATTAGGCAGTGTTAGTTTAAACTATATTTTATTTCTATTGATACAACATAAATATATACAATAAGCATATAAGGAAATCAGATAAATAATAGACTGAGTGTTAAGTTTCATGACCATGGAAACAATGACTTTACCTTATCATTTGATAACATGGCACTCGGCCAATTCAGTTCATATTGTTACAATTTTAAGCAATAATGAGTTTCCATACTTTGCTTTACAGAAAGACATTTGGGTCAAAGTTGTGATGCAAATTCTCAATGTAAAGAATATAATAGTGAATGTAGTGATAATAAATGTTCATGTAAGTTCGATTACTTTCAAACCGGGACCGGGTCCGCTGGAACATGTACGAGTAAGTTAACCTCTCATCATGTTTTTTTGGAAATGTATAAACATTTTACAGTTGTTATGCTGGTTCTCTTTTTATATTCATGTAAATATATTTTATCGTTTAATTGACTTGATATTAAATGCATATACAAAAATTGTGTCCAATTATTAGTGTTCTTATTTTTAAAAGACAAACTAAATTAGATATAAAATCCACTTTTATCTATTTATATGAACTACTTTCTTGATTTACGTATTTGTGATATAAATATTAGACAGGTTAATACTAATTGAAGCATCCGTTACAATTACAGTGTGTTTTTAATCTTTAAAAACTCTATAATATGTTTAATTTAAAAAAAACCAAATGAACAGAGCAAAAAATAGGAGAAGCGTGTTCAGACTCCAATCAGTGTTCAGCTGCCAATACAGAATGCAATGTCATTAGAGTGTGCCAATGTCAATATGGGTATTATGATACAAATGGTCCAGAACCCGGTGGATCCTGTGCTTTAAGTTTGTATTTTAAATTTAATTGATCTGTGATACTAGTTTTCTGTTATATTCGTGCAATTAGGATAAGCATGTATTATTGAACAGGTTTTTTATTGACTTTTAATCAGAAAATGTTATAAAGCACAATATTAGTCTACTGTTCATATAATGTTAATAATTAAGTATTTTCCGAATGGCCTTGTTATCGGGCTGAAGACTGGCATATTAGCCTATGGCCAGCCAAAATCCTCCAATTTCAAATATAACCGAGTTTTCTCATAAAGGGCATACATTTTGCATAATGGCCTTGTTTTATGTTCATAATGTCCTGGTCAACTTCATATTAGCCTTACATTTGAAGCGAAAACGTGCCTTATATTGAAAAGTTAATGAATAATAACTTTCTAATAATTATAAAGTATGTTGCTATATTAGCACTATTAATAACTTATTATTTATGTATCAGAGGTTTCTGTTGGTGAAAAATGCCCACAGCCAACAGCATCCGTTCAAAACATAGCTACCTGCTTCGACAATAATACAATATGTATGCCAGATGGTAATTTTTATACATGCCAATGTGTTGGTACTTACTACGACAACCGAAATAATAAGAGCAGGCGATGTATCTTAAGTAAGTGAATCACTACATTCTAAAAGAAAGAAATTTTCTGTAATAGTCCTGTTCATTGACTATTTCAATTTGAGCTTAAACATGGTCTCAGACATAAAATTTTCTTGTGAAATATTTAACTTGAGATATGTATTATCAGTTCTAGCATAAGTTATGGGATAACCGATTTTTTCCATCTATTTGTTTGCCTTTGAGTTTGCAGGAACTTGTTACGAAATTTGTATCATAGCCGATCCCACTTTTTTCCATCAGCTAGAATCTTTATTTTACGTCTGGATAAGAACCGTTAGACAAATCTTGATATGACAATAAAAAGCTTGAGTTTTCATAATTTGAGAAAGTTTACGGAATATTCTCATTTTTATACAGGTAGGCCACATCATCTTTGTTATTGTACCAACAAAAAATATTTTGAAAAAAAAATACATTTTGAATTGTGACAAGAATATTTTTTTTTCAGGATTAGCTCTTGGAGAAACATGCAACAAACCAGTTTACAACAAAGACCAATGTTTAGATTCAAGTGCTTCATGTATTTATGACAGTATGAATGATGTTCAAAAGTGTAAATGTAATGA